AAGCCCGGAGTTCTAGCAGGATCAAGGACTTCGCGAGGCAGTGCTAATGAGGCACTAATGAGTTAACAACCCAACGAGCTATTTCAATAGGTCGCTGACTGCTGGCTAATCGTGCTGGCAAACTCGTCCTTCAGACCAGAAGCTCTGCACCTCTGACTCCTGGTATTCGGCTACTGACTGACTTCCTGGCTCCTGGCTCCAGTCCGTGTTTTGACGACCCCCTGGCTCTTGATCCTCGGTTCTGCACCCTGACTTCGACGCTTGCTTATCTGGACTCTGACTCTCAGTTACACTCTGACTACGGCCTGGCTTTATGTATTGGGACTGTTGCTCTGGTTATTTTGCTCTCTCTCTGACTTGACTCTCTGACTGGACTGTGAACTCCCCCTCTCTGCCTTGCCCCACTGGCCCTGTCGTGACAGGTGCCTTTGGGATAGCTGATCCCCCAGCGCCACTCTCTGTCCCCGATCTTGGAGAAAGGAAACAAGCCACTGCAAGGCTAGTCCCTGAACTCCAATATCAGCAGTGGGTCAGTAGCTAATGGTCGACCGTATCGAACGCGGCCGACAGATCTAACAACAGCAGCACTGCCGATCCACCCCGATCCAGGTGCCTCCGAAGGTCATCTATGAGGGCGACCAGTATTGTCTCTGTCCTGTGGCCCGGGTGGATGCCGGACTGGAAGGGATCTAAAATGGAAGCGTCATCCAGAAAGCCCTGTAGCTGCATCGCCACTGCCCTCTCTATTATCTTGCCCAAATAGGGCAAGTTGGAGACCGGTCGATGTTTGCCAATTGGATGGCCAAAAATATTGTTTTTTTCCTTGGTAAGGTAGAATTTCAAGGAAAACCTAAACCAAAATGCTTTGGGTAATCCTCTTGAACAGAGAACTCTTCCATCTCAGTTAGCCATTTCGTCTTAGTCCCAATAAAGTGAAGTTAACCTGATTAGTACTACATAAACAAGATTTATTTGTAGCTAGTTCTAGTTTGCTGTAGATCTTCTGCAGAGTTTCAGCAATCGGAAAAGTCTGTGATGCTAAAATCTACAGTAAATTAGGAGAGCAGGTCTCAGGATGAGCAGTAGCATTATTAGCTGGATTAGCTGGCTCAAAAGAGGTGTGACTCAAATCTAAAGATGATTTAGAGCAATCCTGATCAATCTTTTAAAACATCAAATCTATTTGACATTGGGAAAGCATCAAAAAATCTCCTTGAGTTTACTTTGTTTGCCTTGTTTCATTAGAATATCCTGTTGGCCACCAAATACTTATTGCCGTTTTTTACTCATGGTGGATCTTGGAGCAGCAGCAGCAGCAAAATCCATAAATCAGTCAAAAGACAAGTAGAAAGGCAACAGTTTATACAAACACATATTAGGAATCAAATAGTTATTTTTTAGAAACCCAAATTCAAAGACTCAGGGATCCAAAGGCTTGCAAAGATCCAAGGGTACAAAGATCCAGAGGTCCCAGGGTTTGCAAATTCCAGTTCCAGAAGTAAAATTAAGGGCTTCTGCTGAGGTCAGTAGGAAAAAGACCAAGTCTTCTCACTGTAGTTCTACAGCGGCTAAGACAGCACATTTAAATGGGAGTAGCTCTGACAAAGTAAATAGGCAAGCAATAAACAGAATAAATAAAAACCCCAAAATAGATTAGATAATGTAATATAAAAGATGTTAGCAATTAACAATTCCACACCCCAGTGCTGCAATCGCATTGGGACTTTAACTAGCTTCCATTCTGTAATGTGACATGGCTCTGTTTAAAGAACCAGGTGCTCTTTAAATTGTTACTATTTTAGTAATATTAACAAAAGCCATATAAAATGTCTAAATATCGTTATCTAAACTCTAAAAATAAATAGAAACTTTCAAGGCTAGCTTCTCAACTTCCCAGCCCTGGTTTCAGCCTTCACGGGAGGAGCTCAGCCTTATCAACAAGCCTAATCAGCAAACTTAGTCAACAAACCAGCAGACGAAAATAGAAACATTAGGTCTAAATGCTTCTAACAAGAACAGTAGATAAAATAAGTAAAATAAGAGAATACAAACAACATTTTTAAAGGTTTAAAAAATAGACAGAGCACAGCCACAACACTTCCCTTTGTCTCAGCACCCTAACAGAACCTCCCCCCTGCAGCCAAAATGCTAACTGGAGTGCATCATAACAGGGAGTATTTTGCTCCAGTCTTGGTCTATGTATGCTGGCCTTCTTTGAGTGCTCCTGCCATCTGAGCTTAGACAAATGGCAATCTGAGAAAGGGCCTTTTAAGTCATGGTGCCAGAACTTTGGAACTTCTTCCTCAGGGAGGTTTGTTTTCCACTAGTGGTTGAAGACTTTTTTGGTTGGTTTGGTGTACCCCCCCCCAACAACAGTTGTTGGCTCTCCTCCCTGATCGTGTTGTCATGTCTGTTTGTATGTTTTAGTAAATTGTTTAAATACTTTATATAGCCTTTATTTTAAATTTTATTTCAAATCCTGTTTTAATGGCTCTGATATCTTAATGTTTTGATGTTCATTTCCTTGGGGTCTTAATTGGGTGGAAAGGCAGCACATAAATATTTTAATAAATAATACTTTAGATTATGTGTATAAAATAAAAGGTTCACCGTTTCTTACTGGAATAGCTAGGATTGTCAGGTCTAGACTGTGAAAGGTTTCCTGTATTTCAGGAGGAGCGGAACTCAGTGATATTTACTTCCGAGTAGACATGCTTAGAATTATGCTGCAGGAATGGCACAGAACGGGGGGTGGCCAAACTTGCTTACTGTAACAGCCACACAGAATAAACATCTCAAACACAGATGTTTGAGAGCCGCAAGACATGAACAAATATCACACACACGTTTTTATTGAAAAATATGCAAATATGCAAATTTGCTTTTTATTAACATTAAATTAGACTGTGTGAAAGAGCCACATGCGGCTCCTGAACTGCAGTTTGTCCACCCCTGGCACAGAAGAACAAAATCTTCCCTCACTGCAGTCCTACAATGTGAAAAACTGTACCTGGAAAAATTTACAGGTGCACTCAGATGCTGGGTATAGACTGGTCTACTTACAATGGCCTTTGCAGTCTTCAGTTATAAACATGGTACTTGAGGTAGAAGTATGGTTGCCAGCCTCCAGGTAGAGCCTGGAGATCCCCTGGAGTTGTAATTGATCTCCAGACTACAGACATCAGATCCCCTGGAGAAAATAATTGCTTTAGAGGGTGGGCTGGATAGCATTATACCACACTAAGTTCCCTCCCCTCCCCCAACCCCACCCTTCCTAAGCTTCACCCCCACATATCCAGGAATTCCTCAGCTGGAGTTGCCAACTTTAAAGGCACTGTTTGCATTCTTTTTGTAAAGGTATAGATTGTGTAAAGACCTTCAATGCCAGCTGCAGATTAGCATCATCATAATTATCAATAATATATGCCAGCTGCAGATTAGCATCATCATAATTATCAATAATATATCTAACATGAACAGACAAGACAGCTATTTCTACAACCCTGAGCAAAGACCCAGATTTGCAGAAAAATCTGAAATCTAAAAAAAAAATTGAATTGGGATTTAACTCCTCCCCCAAATCACAGAAACAGTGTCTGTAGCTTTAAAGAAACTTATGTTATGAGGGTTGCTAGGCAACCACAACAGTGTTGCCAGGTTTCAACACTGGGTTTCTGTAAGTAGAAAGCAAGGTACTTTCTAGGGCTGTTTTTGGCCTTTGAGGGAGGACTCACCAGGGCCTGGCCTGATAGCAACCATTGAGAGACTTGATACCACATGACGTGTGACTCACCTAGCACTGGCTGTTAGCTACTGTTCAACAGCAGCCCCCTCAGAAAAGTCAGTGTGGTATAGAGTTTCAGACTAGGATCTGGGAGACCCAGGTTTGAATGACCATTCTGCCATGGAAGCTCACTGGGTGACTTTGAGTCAGTTATACATGCTCAGCCTAACCTACCTCACAGGGTTGTTGTGAGGATAAAATAAAGTGGAACATAATGATATAAGCTGTTTGGGGTCCTCATTGGGAAGGAAGGAAGGTGGTGTATAAATGAAGTAAATAAATAATAAATATAGCAGAAAATGGGATTCAGATAGAAGGTGGGTGGGAAGGAGAGAAGGAACCAAGGAAAGGGGATGATATGGTGTTTGCCAGGGAGAGGAAAAGAGTCTAGTCTTCCCTGCAAGTCCTTGGGTACCCTATCACAGAAGTGGCCCCGGCCCCCACCCCTTTGGATAATACTGCTCAAATGGACCATTGTTTTCCCAGGTATAAGCTGCCAGGGGGGAAGGAGGGAAAGCTGAAGACAGGGTATGTAAAGATAGGCTTGCTGGTGGGTGGGAAGAAGAAAAGGAAGCATGAAAAGGGGAGAAGCTATGGATGCTTTTAGGGAAGGGAAAGTGGCAATAGTGGGGAAATTAGATGTCCTCTGCAGGTCCTTTTGTGTCCCCTGCTTGTAATAATTGGGGGAACAAATGAGGGGAAATTATCACATGATGAAGGTGGGATGAACTTTTTGTAACTGTATTTGCAAAGAAAGCACACTGGTGGTCTTGTCCTATGATGCAGCACAGTAAATATGTGCAGAGGTCAATCTTACTTAATTTAATGGGTTTTATTCCAAAGTAACTGTGCATGAAATCTGGGGGCTCTGGAAGTAAATACTATGGTGACTGAACGGGGAATATGCCCTCTATATACTTGTCATACTGGGATATAATACTTATTCCAATTTGTGGTGTAAAGGGCTTAGATTTATTGCCTTAGATTGGCACTGGATGTTACTGACTTTTGTTTCCTTTGAATACTTAAGAATTTTATACGTTCCAAGTAATCGATTTACTTTATGGTAATAACTGAAGCGTAGTTTGGAGGAGGGGGTGATGGGCATAAACAAATGGGCTTTAGGACCTGGAGGGATCACAAGGAAGCATATTGCCTGACCGGTGAAGGAGAGCCACAGAGACCTGGAAATGAAAGTAAAAAAGACCAAGAGGCACATGGAGGGAGCTGCAGGGGCAGCAGCTCCAGCAACAGAATGCTACCTTCTGTAATTAAATAACAATTATTAGTATTATTACTAATAGTAATAATACTCTAATAATATCTCTAGTAATACCATACCATTTATCAAGGCGAATTGATTATAGTATAGGGAGAATACCTAACTTGAGGTGAGTTGGTTATAATTTTGTTATTTTTCTGTAAACGGGTGGATGGAGATTTGACAAATACCTCAGAAGAAATGCTGCATGGGTTTGCAGAGGAGTAGAGGACATGTTTTCTAAGCGCAGCTATTCACACCAGCCTGCAATAAATATGGTATACAAGTCCCAGAAATGTCGTCGGTGTAATTTGTAACGAATTCATCAAGAGTATCCTTCCCACCCGGGCCCCCTTTGGTGGATTGGGGGTGAGGGGGGGGGGGTCTGTGGCAGTAATTTGGCACTTAATGGCGATCCCAGGTACTCATCTGAGTAAAGGCAACTTGCCGGTATTTTTATGTACCTACCGTCTCTGGTTTTGATTTTTTCCCCTTCCTTTTTGCTATGTGCAGTTGCCATAAAAAGTCTTTAAATAAACACTTATCTCGGATGAGGGAGGGCTTGGTAAAGAAAGGCTTTCTTCGCTGTCGTTTTATAATCGGACTTGAAAAAGTCGTCGTGCGAATATTGTAAAATGGAAAAACAAAGCTTTGGTGGGATTTTTTTTTCCTGCCTGGAAGCACCCTAAACAGTTTATGCGTTTAACTCGGTGTACGTAGGGAAATTGTGGCTTCCAGAGGCAGACGGCGCTTTCCTGACTGTTTCCGCCATTGATGTACTTCTGATGCTGGTGGCCTCTGCTAAGCGAGGCCGGGGATTGGAGGCCTTGAGCTGGTGGTAGGGAAAGGTCGATTTTGCTCAAATTAAAACAGAAGACGTTTCTATTAGGGCGTTAATGGGGGCAGGTAAGAGAAACCTTGGAATGACACAGGGCAGGAAATGCAAACATAAGAAAAGGAAAATAGCCACCAACGCACACAAACGGGCTACAATAATCTATGTTTTGTGCCTGTTGTGTTAATTTGACAGCTAAAACCATCATATAATGAAGACGAGGGTGAACGAAGAGCAGTGAAATGGAAACTCGTTAAGCTGTTGCTGTTGGAACAAGCTCATTTGTTCCCTTCTCACTGTGTCTTGCAGGGTCCTGAACAGTGCTTGTAAATATTTTGAGAAACGAGTGCCATTAAAACGAACCTAAAATTAGGGTTTGCAGCTCTAGGCAGCACTACTGAGCTGCATGGCCATGGCTAACCTGTACATTAATACTTATATAAAGCAAATTAGCACAACAATGTTGTGTTTTTGTGTTTCCATCTGTAGAATGTATGGAAAGAGAGTTTGCTTTTCTTCATAGCCACTGCTGGCTTCCAACCAGGTGATTTATTGTACTAATCCCATTTACATTACTAACCCCAGATGTCTTTTATTTATTTTATTTATTATTTAGATTTTTATCCCGCCCTCCCCGTAGGCTCAGATTTTGAGATAGGTATGCACCTTATGAGATTTAAATAAGTAATAATACAGGTGTCTCTTTTTTGGGGGGGTGTTCTGTGTGTATTCTAAGTGTATAGAATTCTTTATCATTGCAGTTTCAAGCTTTTATTCTGCAGTGTTCCTTTTAAAAACACCCTGAGATCCTTTTTTTGTAGCCTGTCAAGGTTACTTTGCCTTCCTATGGCTTGGATATCCTTTCGGTGAATGGAATTCATGAGATTCATGTTTGCATCATTTATTCCTGACTTTGGTGTGATTTTGAAGATTTTGTAGACCTAGAAGGTTGAAGATTATGCAGATAGACTAAGGTGCAGAAAAGGAAGAAATGCATAGCAAGAAGGCTTGTGGTGAGAGGTACTGTAGAAGTAGTTGGATGTACACAAAGTAGAGCAGAAAAAGGCAGAAGATGGTGATGATAGTTCATATTAATATTAATGCAGTTTTCAGACTCAGGCGATAATGGGCCAGTGTTGTGTTTTCAGAAAGATGAGAATTATGATGTAGCATAACCCATTCTCCATAAATGTGAGAATTTTAATTGACTTTTTTCAAAGTTGTACAAAGCAGTTAATGTTTATAAATATTGTAGAGTCTAGTGTCAGGAGTTAGGTAACACCTGCAGAAGTAAATATTTTGCATCCTGTGGGTTCTTATTCAAATCTTGAAAACCTCTTGCTTGACGTAATAAAATCAAATTTCTAGTCATGATGGTTTGAAGAGTTTGACAAAATAATTGCAAAATTGAGTTTGTCTCAGGCTTTTCACAATTAATGTGATTGTTTCATAATTAAAAAAATAGAATAAGTATCTCATGGTCCCACCTTGTCACCTATTGGCAAAAATGTGCAATGTCCTATAGTTGTTGTTGTTGTTCAGTCGCACAATTGAGTTCAACTCTTTGCGACCCCATGGACCACATTACGCCAGGCCCTCCTGTCTTCCGTCGTAGTAGCTAGGAATAAGGCCTGGGCTGGTGTAGACTTGGAAAGTGCAACCAAGGTATACGTAGAGGTTTTGCTTTCCTAACTTTCTGAGACTTGCAAAAACATTTCACATGATCGCTTGGGAAATGAACTTTAACTAGAGAGAATAGAAGCTGTCTAGTAGACATGTACCATAATTTCAGTTGTCAGGCTGATCCTGGAAACCATAAACATCTGTTGAAGGAAGTCCCTTTTGTGCACAGTAGAAGGCAGCTGGTGCTATTATATCAATGAGGTTAAAAAAGCAACTTTCCCCCTATATAGAACATCTCAGACCCATTCTGATCGATCTTACTAGGCATATTTTTTCTGGCTTTTACACACAGATGTTCCCAAAACAATTTATGTAGAACAAAATGATTTGAAGTTTTCAAACATGTAACATTATCACTTAATGAAACAATTAAAAAAAACACGACACAAAATTTCTTCCAGTTAAATCTCAAATGGCTGGTAAAGTAAATAGTGCTTCCTCTCAAAAATGAGAACGAGGGATTTAAATTCTTCTGATAAGAGAAATACTCCAAGTGCCATTTTTCCAGGATCCGATCCAATCCAAATACCTTTATTGGCATAAAAAGAAAAAAGGTACAACATGGCAAGTTCATTTTTCCAGGAATGGTGATTAGCTTTTTCTAGAAGCCCTGGGGAGCTGCTGTTTGCCCTGCTGGAGGCTCCACCTGTGCTGATGAGGTACATGTAAGTTTCCAGATAACTTCTTTGTAGTCCCATTCAGACCCAGACATGATGTGAGGACTGAAGTTATAAGTGGAATTGGTTAAGGCATCGCAGGTGGGACGTTATGGAGGTGTCCCTGCATAAGGAACTTCACCAGCATCTGCAATTTATGCAGTCACTGAACTCACCAGGACTTGACTTAAGTAAATATGGCTGAGGATTCATGACTGTCTCTTACATCCCTGTAAAGATGTAGAAGCTGTTTTCCTAGTTGACTTTCAGTGATCTCAATTCTAAGCTAGTCTTCATTCGTAGTGCAGGAGGTGATACTGGATTATGGTTTCATTTATGTTGCAGTTTTGTTTTCGACTTTCATTGCACAATTTATACTCTGATTCATTTCTGAAAAGATGCATTGAAAATCTTTAAAAGATCTTTAAATCAAATAAATAAATAAAATGCTTAAGGTACATTGAGTTTCCCTGCAAGAACTAGAAAAATATTGCTTCTTGTGTTTCACCACTGTAAAAATGACCTAGTCTGATGTGTTTGGCTCATAATAGACGTGACTGATTTGTTAAACGGGCAGTTTAGCATCCTGCCTGTAGCATCAGTGTAAACAACATACAAACATTAGGTTTGGGGGAGGTACTTGTACCTCTTGGTAGCAGTTCTAATTCACCTTTGGGAACCTACATCATACTTTGAGAAACATATGTCTAAGAGGTTGAGTGGTGGCACATTTTCAATTGCTCCTGATGGGGGGGAAAGGACAAGTATGATATGAATGTATATTGTCATTGTAATCCAGTAAGCGGTGGCTTAGTGGTTGCTCCTGCCAACCTAGCAGTTCGAAAGCAAGACATTGCAAGTAGATAAGTAGTGGGAAGGTAACAGTGTTCTGTGCACCTTGGTGTCTAGTCATGCCAGCCACATGACCACAGAAATGTCTTCAGACAGCACTGGCTCTTCGGCTTGGAAATGGAGATGAGCACTGCACCCTAGAGTCGGATTTGACTGGCTTTCGAGCAAGGGAAACCTTTACCTTAAGCCTCCCCAAATTGCTTTTTAATGTTAAAAATAATTTGTGAGATCCCAATCATGATTTCCCATGTGCTGTCTAGATTAGTCCTTAACTCCAAGTTCAACAACCCCCTGGCCACTGAAGCTCTTTGGGTGCTCTTGGACCAGTCATTTTTTCCAGTCTGACCAACTGCATAGAGTTCCATTTGGGGTAAAATGGGGGTGAGGAGTCATATCCCCATTCCTTGGAGGAAGTTTGGGATAAAAACATAGTAAAAATAAATTCACATCCTAACCTAAGGAGGGTTGTACTGGCTGTATCACAAGTGGCTTTTGTTTGCTTTAAAAAATGGCCATCTTTAAGAGGAGGGAGAATGAAATGGAGAAAGATGGACACTGAAAAAAATAAGTGTCACGTGTTGCTGTTAAACTGGATCCTACATTCAAAAGGTGGGTCTGGAGTAGTCACAACTGATTATAAACTCACCAGGTTTTAAAGATTTAATGTATTCTTTCTCCCGCTGCAGTGACTGTAATGGAGAGGCAAAAAAGGAAAGAGGAAATAGAGAAGGGGCTTCAATTTATCCAGTAAGTGAACCTGCTTTTCGATTGAAGTTGTAATCACTTAGATGGTATGGGAGAGATATGTTCAGTAATCTGTAACTATTTGTATCATAGCTCAGTGCTAGATGGATGACTTTTACTATTCTGTGGCTTAAATCAGGCTAACTGCAATCACTGTCTTGAAAGTTAAAAGAAATGCAAACAAATCACATATAGCCAAATAATGTGGATTTCTATAGAAAGGTAATATTCTAGTGTGTGTATAAGTCTAAGCTTAGTATTTGTGTCACCACTGGTATACCTGTACTATCCATACTAGTGGCAAGTAACCAAAGAGACAACGCAATATACTACATTGAGGTAATGAAAAAAGCTGCTTAAATGCTTTCTGGGAGTTCATTTTTAGAAGCAAGCATCTGAACACTGTGTAGTAGTAGTCCAGCAAGCTCCAAGGGAAGTTTTAAGATTATATTAAGCAATTTGGAGTTGCATCCTTGTATATATTATGCATCCTACAGTGTGCACACTTAGAATGAGACACATGTATCTGCATAATTCTGTTTTTCTCAAAACTCTTCATCCTTTTCTAGATCCACATTACCCCTCAGCCAGGAAGATTATGAGGTAATGTAAGACTTGTTCTCTGAACGTACTAAATGACATTATATTGTCAATATGTGCTGTCCTTTTGGATAGTTTATATTGATTGGTGCTTGGGTGGAAAGGGAAATAATTTCCTGTCATGTCTGGGCTGGTATATTTTCATGTGGAAGAACTTGCATACATTCTCAGCATTAGCCTAATTGTGCTCTGGTCAAAATCAATGAGTCTCTGTTTACCTGCAGATCTTTGCTTCTTCTAGGAACCAGTTTTCAGTGTCCAAAGTAAATGTATGGATTTTGTTAAGGGAAACATTATCAGGGATTTAAATAGCCTTGATCCAGCTCATGTAGTGAGCCATTATCTTGCTCTTGGGACCCCTCACTGGAGTCCAGCAGTTGAGAGGACCCACAACAGTTTGCTCTAAAACTCCTTAGTAGTGGTTGCTCTCCAACCTTTAGCCATAAGGACTACCTGAGCTGTAAATCCAATATATAACTCCCATTTTTCTTGTCTAATCCTGTCTACAAGTATTTTGGGATCAGCACCCAGTTGCATGAGTAGGGCTACAGCAAACTATAGGATTATGGTATGATATAACATCTGGCCACAATGATCCATGATCTGATCATTTTCAGATTATATCACTCCATTACACTGTACATGGGGCTGCCTTTGAGAATGATTTGGAAATTTCAGTTGGCCCAAAATGCAGCACCCAGGCTACCATCAGTGGTTGGTTACAGAGATTATATCACCCCTGTGCTGAATGATCTGCACTGATTACCTGTCTGTTTCCAGGCACAATACAAAGTGCTGGTTCTTACCTTTAAGGCTGTAAATGGCTTGGGGCCAGGGTACCTGGATGGATTGTCTCCTCCCATACTCCAAGCCCACCAGTTAAAATCTGCTTCTGAAGCCCTGCTCACTGCGTCTCTGCCTCCCCTGGCCTCCCCTTAAGGGTGAATAGGAATAGTAACAGGCCTAGGTGTTACTAATTGGTTCCTCAGCCTATACAGTTCTTATCATCTTCAAGGCCAGAGATGAAGGTGGTGTGATTAGCTTTTGATGAGAACCTGCTCCCCATAGGATGGGGGAAAGAGAGTCAGGGGTGATGAGGTAATCTTCTAGAGGCTTCTCCAGAGAAAATGTTCCGGTTGGATATCATCCTCACCTGATGTTGCTGGGCCAAAAACTATAATTTAGCTAAGGCCCAGAAGAAGGGAGACTAGCTGAGATCCTGAACTATGACCTGCTTGAATTGCAATTGCTAGCAATGTAGAGAACACATGAGCTTCAGCCTTGAGTTTGAAACTTAAGGTTTGTGCCGTCTAATGCAAATCCTAAAAGTGTTAGACAGTTGAGCTAGTTTCTTTTTTTCTTGTTGCATGGTTTTAGAGCAATGTGTTGGCTGTTTAATGAATTTTTCTAATTAACTGAATTTGAAATAAGTTTTATAAATCCTTTAAAAAATAAACAGTTATTTGTGTGCAAGTGTCCTGGCGACCCACAGGGTTCAGGTTAGAGCTCCTTGACAGTGGCATAAAAATATTCTGAATATATAAATAAACTAATGGCTGTAGTTAGTGTGCCATGGGAGAAAAAGCCGAGAGAGTGTGACCTTCTGGGTAAGGAATGCCTATTTCCTTCAGTTTTGGGGTCACAAAATGTATAGGTAGTTAATTAACCATACTATGTGTGTGTTCCTAGTTTTAATGTGTAGGAACTGGGGTAGGGTTCCCAAGTATGTACCACGATCCAGCGGGGGACACATGCTCCCCGGTCGGAACATTCCTCCCTGTAATGCAGCATGCCGTTGCCAGGAAGTGACACTGGGCAACGCTCTGGCAATGGGGCTGAAAACTCGATGGTACCATTGAGTTTCCAGCCCCATTGCCAGAGCGTCACCTGGCGTCACTTCCTGGCGCTGGCATGGTGTGGCACATCTGTTGTCCCCGCGGGAATGATCCCGCGAAGTCGTCTGTGTCCCCCGCCAAATCACGGTAAGTACTTGGGAAGCCTGAACTGGGGTGATGCGTCTAGAGCTCTGTAGTAGGGATACAATGGAATGGCAAGGGGGGGGGGGCATGCAGAAATTTCAGTCTCCCATAAATTTTGTGTCTTGTTTTTGTTTGTATCCTTCTGACAGGCCTTTTTACAAAAGCTGGTGCGGAACCTATTTGCAGAGGGCAACGACTTGTTCAGAGAGAAGGATTTCAAACTGGCGCTGGTGCAGTATGTCGAAGGCCTGAATGTGGCTGAATATGCAGCTTCAGATGAGGTGATGATTCCAGTGGATCTATTATGCAAGCTGCACGTCAATCGGGCTGCCTGCTATTTCACCATGGTGAGTCCATGCATTTTGGTTACTCAACACTTGGTGACTTGTGGCTGAATGTGTGGATGGACAGTATTGGACAGAGGTGCTGTTGAGTGATGTGAAACTTCAGTGGTGTTAGATCTGTTGTGACTCTTGTGAATGTGCAAGTCGTCACTTGACATTGCAGTTATTGTGTGGTGATCTTGCATCTGTGGAACAGCCCTTAATCTTTCTACAGAGCAAGCTAAAAGTATACCTTGTTTTTAGGGAAAGAATGAGAAAGAAGGCATGCTTTTCTTTTTCTTTTATAGTTTTTATTTTTATTTTTCAGAGTGAAGAAATAACAGTTTACATAGAAGTGTTCAGAAACAATAAACGTAAATAACACTGAACATTCTAACAATAAAGATTGTTGAGAATCCTCTGTTTTCGTATTTGTTTTACATAGACTAAGAGTAAAGTTATTCTTAACCATATTATCCTCCTGTGATCATATATACAGACTATCCTGTGTTGAGCTTTCACTCTTAGCACAGACTGGCCTGATCCAACAGTTGAGTGTTGATACCTACTATCATCTATCTAAGAGATAGATAGTATCATACCATACTATCTAAGAGAGCAAGTGTAGTGTACTCAATGTACATGACGAACCGAACAAGGCATGCTTTTCAAGATGTTAATTGGAGACAGTGAGTTGATATGAAAGGGGGCATAGCTCCGGATTGCGGAGACTTTTTAAAAAATTGGTGTTCTGAACTGCTGTAATTGGCTTCTCAGAATGTGAGGCTGTCCTTTTCAAAGAGTAATAAATTCCAGATACTTAAAATAAATATTCTTACTCCAGGATCTTGTGTAAGCCTTTGAAAGAAATATTTCCCCCCAGTTACATGAGCTGATGCCAGAAAAAGTGGTCAGGTGGCCAAGAAACAGCTAGGTTTGACATGAAAAAGCTAGGTGTAATTGGTTTGACATGAAAAAGCAAGGTTGATGCTGAGAAGGGCCTGCCCACTTCTGTTCTAAGTGCAGCATGAGCATGCCTGATCTGCCACCCCTGAACATGCCCAATCTGGTCTGATCTCGTGTGGCTGCTAAGTGCACTTATCTACCACACTTGATACGATGTTCGATGTCTCATGGGATAGGGAACAGAATTGCCTGTTTCCCCAACTACTTACAAGGCTCTCTTCTATCCTCCCAGTCCTCCACTGGCATGAGAATCTGACAGCTTGCAGATGGGTTGTTGGTGTACCAGTTGCCTGGTGTGGATTCCTGTAGACCTTGGTGTGTTCTTTCTCTGCCTCTGCCACGGGAAACCATGTGTTTGCTGTATATGTGTGGGCACAGAGTAGTGGCTTAGTAATTGAACTACAAACCTTATATTTTCCCTGAACATACTAGTTGATCTCAGTAAGCTCTGCACTCTCAGTCTCAGGGGTGCTGCCATAATGCAGAGATGATAATACCTGTCTAAGAGAAGTTAATGTGCATGAAACGCTTTAAACCTTTGAAAGTGTAATAATGCCGCTATTGTTACTCAGCATTTATATATGCTTTATGGTCCTGAAGGAGATTTAGAATTGCCATCTCCAGCTTGGTTACATCTGTTATAACCTATATTTCTTTCTCTCTTTCTCTCTTTCTCTCTCTCTCTCTCTCTTTCTCTCTCTCTTTCT